TCGGTTCTTGTAGATTTTTTGGTGCTGAATCCAAATCTGGATGCAGAATATCTCCAGCACGTCAAAAGATATCCAAACCTCAAAGTGTCAAAAAAACGGGTTTCGCGATATTTGAGGTTATATTATGAAAAACAAATTTTTTTACACATTTATAATTCGGGCATCATTTAGTATTACTCTTCCCTTTAAATTTAATTTTCGTTTGTTGCGATTCGATTTCTCGTGATATACTAGTTTTAATGTCCAGTTCTTTGGTATTATTTCGTAAGCATGAATCATAATAGCATGTGTAGAGGCTATTCAATCATTATCAGCGAAAAAGTTTTGAATATTGTTAATTTTTTTACTTTTGTTTAATACAAACTGTTATGAAATCTTTTGATAAAAAAAAATTAGTGCTTTTAGTGTGGTAAAACGCTTTTCTTTCCAAGTTTTGGTGCTTTTTGAAATTGAAAAGTTGGCAACGCTGGCAAAACAGTAGCGATGCTGAAGTTTGTATACAGAAAATAATCGTCGACGCTCTGGGAGTCTCGATCTCACCTTCTCAAGTTGACAAATGTGTGATAAAAAGCATAAAACCGAAAACTGCCTCGTTACCTGCTCGTAATATTATATGCGTGCATTTTAGGTCTAATGAGATTAAGAGAAGTGTTTTGGCAGCCAGGAAAATCAAAGCACACAAGTTGACCACTCAATTATTTGATGATTCTTCTAATAAGAGAATTTAGAATTTAAAAAAGCTGACAATGCNATGTATATAGATAAAAAATTAAATAATTTGAAATATTTATCGGTTCTTGTAGATTTTTTGGTGCTGAATCCAAATCTGGATGCAGAATATCTCCAGCACGTCAAAAGATATCCAAACCTCAAAGTGTCAAAAAAACGGGTTTCGCGATATTTGAGGTTATATTATGAAAAACAAATTTTTTTACACATTTATAATTCGGGCATCATTTAGTATTACTCTTCCCTTTAAATTTAATTTTCGTTTGTTGCGATTCGATTTCTCGTGATATACTAGTTTTAATGTCCAGTTCTTTGGTATTATTTCGTAAGCATGAATCATAATAGCATGTGTAGAGGCTATTCAATCATTATCAGCGAAAAAGTTTTGAATATTGTTAATTTTTTTACTTTTGTTTAATACAAACTGTTATGAAATCTTTTGATAAAAAAAAATTAGTGCTTTTAGTGTGGTAAAACGCTTTTCTTTCCAAGTTTTGGTGCTTTTTGAAATTGAAAAGTTGGCAACGCTGGCAAAACAGTAGCGATGCTGAAGTTTGTATACAGAAAATAATCGTCGACGCTCTGGGAGTCTCGATCTCACCTTCTCAAGTTGACAAATGTGTGATAAAAAGCATAAAACCGAAAACTGCCTCGTTACCTGCTCGTAATATTATATGCGTGCATTTTAGGTCTAATGAGATTAAGAGAAGTGTTTTGGCAGCCAGGAAAATCAAAGCACACAAGTTGACCACTCAATTATTTGATGATTCTTCTAATAAGAGAATTTAGAATTTAAAAAAGCTGACAATGCGCGGGTTATCATTATCAGAACATTCGAAGACTTAAATTTGATAAAAGACTAGTTACAAGTAGTAAACTAGTCTGAGCATTTTGTCTCTATATATAAGACCATAACAAATGTTTTCCGATGTTCTAATTAATGATAACCCAATCATCACAAGCAATAATGTAATACTTAATTCTCACTCAGAAGGTTTAAACAATTTCTTAGTTATTCACCAAAACATACGTAGTCTAAGGCAAAATTTTGATGTATTTGTATGTAATCTTAAAGCTTTAAATATTCAACCAGATATAATTTTTGTGTCTGAAACATGGATTTTCTCATATGAGAAAAATGATTATAAAATACCAATTTATAACTTTTTTTCTAACACTAACGATAGCTACAGTGCAGTGGGTGTTGGAGTTTTGGTGCGTGACGTATATGAATGTACGTCGTTCAATTTTAACTTCAAGAGTGCAGACATGCTAGAGCTTATTTGTAATATATGTAAGAGGTGAACAATTTACATTTGTATGTGTATACAGACTACATTCAATGCCGGCTTCTGATTTTCTTGAAGAATACCCAGGTTTTCTACACAATGAAAATGCGGCCAATTTGCTTATTGTTGGCGATTTTAATATAGATATAATACATCGTTGCGCCGCAACAGATGACTATTTAGCATTGATGGCTGATAACGGCTTCACATCGTATTTAAATGAACCAACTCGTACAAGTTCAGGCACCTGTATTGACCATGTTTTTTGTCGTTTTAAAACTATTTATACCACATAGCTATTGCAACAGTTTGAATTTGGATTTGCAAGTTACCGATCATACGATGACAGGTATTCAGATCAAAGATTTATAAGCAAAATAAAAAACATTAGAAAATCATACACTAAAATTAATTTCAAGTTACTGAACGACAAGTTACGCTACGAGAATTGGTCGCATGTTTACGCAGAAAACGACGTTTCGTTATCCTATTATTTCTGGAAACCTTAAAGTCTCATATTGGAGCTTCTAGCTTAAATGCGTTACAGCAAAAACAAAACATGAGACTGAAACCTTGGATAGATCAAGATCTCTTAAAGAAAATAAAACTAAAAAATAAATTAAGCAAAAAGCGTCCAAATAATAGAAAACTTCGTTCTCGATACATCAAACTTATAGCGTTCTCTTTTCTCGAAAAATCTTGCATTTATTGTGCCTCGTGGCAAGGCTGTCAAATGTTCGTGTTCTTTTCTCAGCATTTTCTCTGAGTTGTTTGTTCCTTTCTCAACATGTTGCCCTCTGGCCCGACAAAAGTGCAACATTTTCTGCCCCTGCCAAATCGTAAGGGTGAGCGTTGTCCAGCGGAGTTTTATTTATTTACAATTTTTATTATTTATAAATAGAAATTTGTAATAGATGTAAATCGCTTAATTTTATTAAGTTCACTAAAAGAAATTGCGAATGATTTGGTGGATTCTTCCTCGTCATCAACTGAGAATGAAATTGAAACGTTAGTTCTTGGAAGAAATTCACAGCCTAGAGTAAACAGATTTGTGGACGATGTTGTTAACTTTTATTCTGAGGCAGAGGTAAATAAACTAGTTTTAAATAAAATGAAAATTTTCTTAACAATCTGAAACTACAGTTCAAGAAAAACTTTCGCGTCAGTCGTGACCTTACCGAATATCTTGTCGCTAAATATTCTGCGAGCACATGGTTTATAACAAGGAACTACAAAGGAGGAAGACTGCAAACACCAGCGGAATCTCATATGCTCGCATTTTTGTGGTAGGCTTAATGCAACATTTAGAGAGAATCTTCATTTGAAAATATTTTATTTATTTATTTTTTTTTTATTAAGGTTTGCCGCGAAAAAAACCACTTTCAGAGAAGTTGGAAATATATTTGACATGTGTTTGTCAAATATGTATAATACCTTCAACAAAGTTTTGAACTTTCTTGTTAGGGATATCGCACCGGAAGCAATAAAGTTTCCCAATGAAACCCATGAAAAAGAAGTAATCGCAAAAGCATTTGAAAATGTAAATATTATTCGATAACCTCCTAATTGTCTCATTATTTAAATTTTGTGTAAATTGTAGATAGCTGGATTCCCGAATGTCTTGGGTTGCATAGATGGAAGTATCCATCACTCGAAGTTACGTTTCTTGGATGTATTCACTGGAGTGCCTAGCATAATCCATGACGCAAGAGTTTTGAGATTGTCCTTCATTGGAAAGGAGTTATCAAGTGCATGTGCACCTAAGTACCATTTGTAAGGTGACTCAGCGTATCCCCTAAGGAAGTACTTACTAGCATCATACCGGGACTATGGAAATTTGACAGAAGCTGAAAAATTTTACAACATGAAATTTTGTCAAACTAGGGTGAAAATTGAAAATGCTTTTGGTATGCTGAAATCAAGATTCCGTCAGCTAATGCGTTTAGATTTCCACAATGTTCAGTTGATGGCAAAGTTTGTTATAGCGTGCTGCGCTCTTCATAATCTTTGCATTGAAAGAGACGACGTTGTTGATTTCAGCATCATAGATGATGACATCGAAAATATTTCCACGGAAAGAGGCGATAGGAGGGATCAACTACTTTCACAATTAGGCCAGATTAAACGAAACGATGTTAAGAATCAGCTATACATTCAAAGAAACGTACAAATAAATTAACATCTTCATTTATTTACTTAAAATAGTTATAGTTCATATTTCTTAATTTATTTATTTACTTAAAATAAGAGTTAATTTATTATGTGGAGTGAGTAAGACGTATTTTTGTGCTGCTGCATTCAGTCACGCTTTTGTTACGTAATTACCGGCTTTAAATAAAATATTTGTACTTATATAAAGTTAATGGACTTTGTGCCAACATCCTCACTGCTGTAGCTGATAATTGTTTCAATCGTATTCTTTTAAATTGAAATTGCATTTTGGCAAGCAAGTAAGTGCAATTATGTCACTAAGAAAAAGTGCCCGCAACACCCACTCCCCTCAACACACTCCTTCTCTAAAATTGCAAAGCAAAGGAGACAGTAAAGGAGTAAACAGTCCAACTACGGTTTGCTTGTTAGAGAGGCTCGAGGCGAAACTGGAAGCATCCATAGAGAATATTATAATGAAGATAAAGGAGAGCGAAGAGCGTGTGATGGAGAAAATTGGTGAAATTTCGGCTGAAATTACCAACTTAAAATCAGCAATGAAAGCCGTTGACGATAGAGTGAGTGCGCTAGAGTCATTGCGCTACGAAAGTAATGACCAAAACAAAGAAGTCATCACTTTATGTCAACAAGTTGATGAGCTTGAGAATGCGTTGGTAGCGACAGATGTCATTATTTATGGTGTTCCGCTTATAGCTGAAGAGAATTTAACTTCGCTGTTCTCTAAACTTTGCACATCGATTAACCTGACCCCGCTGCCCGCCCGTTCAACTTTTCGTTTGCGCAAAAACAACAGCAACAAGAAGCCTTCTCCTATTATAGTCAAGCTAAATTCATCATATGATCGTTCACTCTTATTTAAGGCGATTGCCGGCTTTTTTAAGGCAAATAGAACGTCGCTAACACTTCGCGATATAGGGCTCAATGGTGATGAGAAGATCTATGTGCATGAATGCCTTACGAATAAGAATCGTGAACTTATTCAATTTGCAACACGGCTGAAGAGACAAAAATTATTG